GTCCTGCTGGCAGGGAGAGGATGAGTGGGAAGAGAGGCATTACCCTTCCTCCCTCCTCTGTGGGTCAACCATGGCATGGGGCTGGAAGGAGGCCAGAAGACACCCAAACCACTAGACTGCCTTTCCCTGCCCCCAGAGCTGGTTGTGCATGGCCCAAGGTCCCACGGCGGCGTTTAGTGTTGAGCCATGCAAGGCCTTAACCAGAGGACTGGAGGAAGCGGTGCTGGCCTCCCACTGGGGGCTTCCTCCTCGGGCTGTGCCCAGATCTCCTCCTCTTGCCCTACGTAGGGGCAGTGGCTCAGGGCTAAGGTCTGGGTGTGCTTTCAGACGTGCAGGTACAGGCATTAAAGGTTTCCCAGAAAGGGGTGTGGAGGAACAGAGTCCGACCTAATGGTTAACCTCACAGTGCTTTCACTAATGGGTTGGCAGGGTTAAGGGGGAACTCAGCTTGTCTGAGCAAGAGCACCTGAAATACAACTGCTCGATTTTGAGGCAAGAAAAAGAAGTGTATTAAAAAGGTCACTGAACTGGATGCGGTCTGGAAGTGTTGTCAAAATATACTCAGTGCGAAACCCCTTTGGTTGGTACTTACACCACAAAAAGTAAAGGAACTTTGATTACTGACTCCCTGCTTCGCACCTTGTATCACCAGAGCTGTGTTTGCGGAGCTGATGCACTTCATACAAAGGGCAAGATATTTCTTTACCATTTTACTATATTTTACGTTCACCGCACTACTAAATAAAAGCCTTTAAACAGGCCACAAAACACTGCAGTAATATATTTACTTCTTAATATAACAAACTTTTTTTATAACATCGCAATAAAAGGCTTTTGTTTCGTGGCGAACCACGTACGATGTAAATTTGCAACATAAAACGACTTTAAAAATGTATATTAAAGGATATTTACAAGCTCTATGTATTAAAATCATTGGGCCTAATCACTCCCACCCCTGACGTGCATGTACAACTCCAGTTGCAGAGAAGGGGAATTCAGTGTGGAAGGGAGGCTGGGAGGGAGGCTAGCCCTGTTTCACTAATTCCAGTATCACTACCACCCCTAGTACCTTTGAAATTTCTCATGGAACGTGATGAAGCAATGGGTAAGTAACGCTGTGTAACCTCCTTTGGCTGCCACTGCCAACAGCAGCATACATTCTCAGTCACTATGACATATACTTCAAAGAGCAAAATAAAGAGTGTTGAAGAAGAGCCTAGGCTTTATACTGGATGAAGATCTAAGTCAAGACACCTTGCACAAAATATCAGCTACCGGTTTCTGCACATGCTCCAACTATAAGTAGCTTCAATAAATAGAAAATCCAGTTGTTAAGGAAAACTTGGAGCCTTTCCTTTGCTTAAGACAAACCTGCAAATCACACTGTGAAGAGGTATGTGTGAGGAGGTTTTTGCATCTTTTCTCTTTCTCCCCAACAGGCAATATTAGTAGTTACTTGTGATTTCAAATAAGAACGAGCAGATTGTACTAATGCCAGCACAAAAATGCAGAGGTCTTGCACATTTTTCAAATTGCACTTTCCAGTATAATTTTTAAATAAGATACTTGTTGTTTTTTTCTTAAAAAACAAAACAAAACAAAACAAAAAAAACCCTAAGGTATGTATTCTTTAAATATTGAATATATTCTTCAAAATATATTGTTAAAACTTTCCCTAGCTGCTCAGGTGTGCTTTTTAATATATAGCTGATATATTATTAAAGGCACTACAAAATAGACATCTCTGGAGTGCAGAAATTACTAAAAAATAACCTTCATACCACAAATATATTGAAAATATAACTGCTAAAAAAAAAAGACCCTATGCAACCCCACTACAATGCGTATAAAAGCACGTCAGCAGTGGGCTGGATGCATTGAGGTCCTTTGGAAATGTATGAATACAGGCATGTTAAATTTTAAAAATAGCCTAAAAAAGTTAGTGAAAACTTCAAGCATAGAAAATATTTCAAACACCTTTTTTTTCTATGACATTCTTCACTTTCTGCATCAGTTTACCAAAGGCCAAACGTTTACTCTTTTGCAGACGGTTCTTTCTTCATAAATAGTAAAGTGTTCCTTCAGTGTGTGTGTGTGTGTTTCTTCGCCATCCTCCTCTGCTGACAGTCTCAGTACGTCTGGTAGACGTCGTGGATGGGCACCTGGATGGTGGCAGCTGGGAATGCT